GGGCAGCCTCCCTGGGCACCCACAGATGCCCCCGGGCGAGGGGAGAGCCAGGAGCCGGCCGAGGCTCCGGAGGAGTCGTGGGAAGTGCAGGATGAGGATGCTGACGATGAGCTCGGCTCAGACCCGGGACAGCCGGCAAGCAGCAGCACCAGTGCGGCCGCACTTCAGCAGGCATCGGGTGATGGCGTGGAGAGCGGCGAGTCGGTGGAGAAGGACGCTGGGCGATCGGGAGAGCTGGAGCAGGCACCAGGGACGGGCAGGAGGGTGGAACTGGAGGACACGCTGCCGGACAGCACGCCCTTGCACCTCTACGAAGGGGAGACGCTGGCTGTGGTCGCACCCAGCCAAAACCCTCCGGAGACTGAGGAGACCACAGAGACAGCACCTGCATCCGAAATAGCTCCGGACGATGAAGGATGGCTGGAAGGGAGGGACCAGCCACCAACGCCCACCCTGCCAGAGAGCCACGAAGAGGAGGCAGGGACAGAGGTAGCCCCTGCAGCAGAGGGTGCTGAGGAGGAGGAAGGCTATTTCATGGTCTCTGCTCCTAACCAAGAGGTATCCAGCTCAGAGGAAGCCGAGATCTCCGAGGACTTTGAAGAAATTAAAGTTGAAGCAACTGAAGCCAGCAAAGATGATCTGGAAGCTCCTGGAGAAGCATCTCCAGTGCCAGAGGACGAAGGGCACTTTGAGGCGTTTGTTGGTGAAGGAGACGAAGACATCAAGATGCCCACAGAAGAACCTGAGATGCTGAAGGATGAGGATGAGGATGATGCTGGGGGTTTTACTGCTGAGCTGGAAGAAGGTCCAGCTGTGCCTGAGGCAGATCCCAGCTGTCCCGGGGCCAGGGGGCCGTTAGCAGGAGGTGCTGATGAGCCGGCCCAGGGTGCCGCAGGCTCTGGCACGCACGAGGAACCAGGGCGCTCAGAGGTCTTGGCTGCTGAATCGGTCGAGGAGCTCGATGGCACGGTGGAGCCGGAGAGCGATGCCGGCAGAGCCGAAACGCTCCCAGGCTGCAACCTGGGGCTGGTGGGGCTGGAGGAGGAGGAGGAAGAGGAGGAGGAGGAGGAGGAGGAGGAGGAGGAGGATCAGCCCGGCACGGCTCACCACGATGTGGCCGAGCCCATCCCTCCGGCAGGGCTCCAGGCCCCGGTGATGCCGGTTTCTCCATTGCCTGACCAAGCGGAGCAGACATCGGATGAGCAGCCATCTGCGGAGGAGGAAGCACCGGAGGGTGACAGCCCTCCACCGGCCGGGGACGAGGAGCCCCCCGAGGCCGACGCACCTCGGCCGGGCTCTGCGCCAGAGCAGGGAGGTTTTCCAGAGATAATGAAAGAAATCCCAGAGGCGGCTGATCTCTCTGCAAAGGTGCCAGCGGATGTCATGAAAGACTCAGATATTTTGGAAATAGTTGAGCAAGCCCTGGAGTTCAACCAGGAGCTGGTGATGGGGGTGAGGGCAGCCAAGGGTGGGCAGCGGCATCCTGGTGGGACCGAGCTACCCCAGGACACCGGGGAAGACTCCTCGCCTGCCTCGTCCAGCGAGGAGGAGCCGACGGTGCAGGAGGTGCCAGCGGATGCAGCACCAGGGACGGAGGGTCCGGTTCGGGCCGAGAACGGGTTGCACCGGGAGGCCAGCCTGGAGGACCTCACCGAATTCACCGAGGAGGTGCTGAACGGCATCACCAGCGTGCCGCCGGCACAGGAGTTCCCCGCGGAGACTGCAGACCCCGCTGCGGTGATGCCACCGCAGCCCCCTGCTCCCACAGATGCCATTGCCGCCAAGCTGGCCGATGCCACCCCGTGTGGCAAGCACGGTGGGGCTGACACCGTCCCCATGCCATCCCCTTTGGGGGATGACGTCTTGTGCCTCGCGCCCGACCAGCCGGCAGCGTGCCGGCTGGGCCCAGCAGAGGAGCCCTGGTCCTCGGGCGACGAGTGACGGTGGCGGGGGGGGGGGCCCCCTGGGGGGCGGAGTGGCGGGGGCGGGGGGGGACCCCTCCGTTAGCTCCCTCCCTGCCAAAACCCAGCACCCTCACTTCGCCCACCTGCCCACCTAATGTTTCTCCATCTCCTTATGATTTTTAGCACATTTGTGTGGATTTTTTGCACCCCTTTTCAGAGTGAAGAACCACCAAGCTCAGTTCCCCCTCGGCCCCCCAAATTTGCATGCTTGCTCTGGGACCCCAGCCTCATTTTGTGCCCCCTCTGGGTGGGTTGCCATGGCTGTATTTAATTTAAACCCCATCTTTCCTCCTTCCCTGTGATCTCCCCCCTTCAAGCCCCCCCAGCGCATCCGCCCCGGGAAGCCCAGCTGGAGGCTGGGGACCCCCACATGCTGCACCCAGCGCCTCAGGGCGAGCGAGAGCACCCCCGGGTCCCCAGCCCCGACCCGCCGACGTTCGCGGGGCTGACCCACGCCGGATGTATTCTCTGCCTTAACGTTAATTTAATAAAGCCTCATCATCCCGCTTGGACCTGCTGCAGCCTGGCTCTCCTCACTCCCGCGGCCGGGTGGCTCTGGGGGGGACGGGTTCATCAGCACGGGTTGGGGACAGGGTCCCCACGACGATGGTCACCCATCCCTGGGGCGATGCTCCCCCATCCCCAGGGCCCCACGGATGCCGCTCAGGGCTCACTGCTGGCCGGGCACTTGCCTGACGGCTGCCTGGGCTGGCCAGCGGGAGCGGGACGGGATGCCAGCCCACCCCATCCCTGTGCCAGCGCCTTCAGCAATGAGCCAACAAAACCAGCTGCTATTCCTGCCCGGATCAGGCAGGCTGCCCGCGGGGCAGCGTGCGGTCACCCAGCCCCGGGAGCTGCCGGGTACCCCGAGCATCGTGGTGGGGACCCCGTCGCCCCGGCAGACGTGGCTTTGCCCCTTCTCCCAAAGGGTGCTGGGCTGCAGAGGGGGCTACAAGGAGCCAAGGGGGCTCAATCGCCCCGTTGTGCGGCCGGGCGTGGGGACGGCGCATGAAGAGCCGCATAAATCAGCCTCCGGCTAGAGAATGGGCTCCTTTATGCCGGGCAAAGGGCTGAGTCACCCCGGGCAAGCGGACGAGGGGACCCGGGTGGCCACGACATCCCTGGGGACCGACAGCCTTGCACCCACGGGTGCGCTCAGCATCGCTCCTTGGGTGCTCGGGGACGGGCCGCCCGCCTGGCTGGCCCCGCCGCTCGCCCACGCGCCGGATTTAGCCCGGCCGTCCCCGTGCCAGCGCCCAGGGGTGCTCGGAGCCAGGGACCGATAAGGACCCAACATTTATCTGCCTTCCTCCATGCGAAGCCCCCGGCCCCCTCCCCTGCCCGAAGGCGACGGTTTCCTTTTAAGGCCAAACTCCAACGGATCCAAACACCGTAATAAAAAAAAAATAACCCCTCCGATTAGTTTAATCAGGCGCCGAGCCTGTGTTCAATCAGCCCTTGGCCCTAACGCACCCCTTCAGCGAGGCCTGGGCAGCGTCAGCCGATGGCAGCTCCGGTAAACCCCCCCGAGACCCCCGGTGTCCCCCCGAGTGGTCCCCCAAAAGCGGGGCTGCCCGGACGCCGGGGTCCCCGGGCGAGGAGGGGCGGTGGCGGGATGCTGCGGAGGAGACGGCAGCGGGCGAGGAGCTTCGCAAGGCGGGGGGTGACATTCCTCCCGAAATTAATCCACATTCCAGCCGGTGCTGACAAAGCGATGAGGGGGGACAGATGGCAAGGGGGAGGAGAGGCAGCCCCTTCCTCACCCCGAGGAGGAGGAGGAGGATGGGACGAGGCTGCAGAGGGCTGAGGGTCGCCTGGTGGGGTGGGGACGGCTGCCGGGTGCTTGCAAACCCCAGGGGCTGCAGCCTGGAGAGCGAAACCCCGGCGATGCTCGTCTGCAGGCTGCGAGAAATGCACGAGCGAGTGTGCAGCAACGGGACCGAGCGTGTCCCCGAAGGGACCGAGTGTGTCCCCGATGGGACCAAGTGTGCCCCAATGGGACCGAGCGTGTCCCCAGTGGGACCAAACATGCCCTAATGGGACCAAGTGCACCCCAATGGGACTGAGCGTGTCCCCAGTGGGACTGAGCGTGTTCCCAGTGGGACCAAGTGTGCCCCAATGGGACTGAGCGTGTCCCCAGTGGGACTGAGCGTGTTCCCAGTGGGACCAAGTGTGCCCTAATGGGAACAAACATGCCCTGATGGGACCGCGCGTGCCCGGGTCCCCCTGTGCCCAACCCTGGCGTGGGGCTGCAGCTCGGACACCCATCGGACCCCCTCCCAGACCAAAACCCACTGGAGGCTGTGGGGCCCCGCGGGCAGCACCCCCCCGGTTCCACCGAGCACACGCAATCTGATTTTGGGGACCACGCTGCTTTCGGGGGCCGGAAAGAGAAACAGAGGTGTCCCCCCCGCACCCGAAACCTGCTCGCACGCCCAGACGGAAGCACGGTGCTGGTTGGCCGGCCTGGTGCTTGAAGAGCCCCCGGAGCCCCCCGCAGCCTGGCCCCCCGCCAGCCGGGGAAGGGTTTTGTTTCCTTGAAGGCTGGGCGAGAGGGGGATTTCAATGGAGCCCACACAAAAACTCCCTGTGGGGTGAGCCCGCGCCGGGATGGGGAGGGGGGATGAGGCGGGATGACCTCAGCGATGACTTCATTCCACTTGCAGCTCCCAAAAATCCTGGGAACCTTATAAGGAAAGGACTAAAAATACAGCCGGAGGCGTGTGGGCAGCCCCTGCTCCCCCTCCCCAAAATAAGCCCTTGGGGATGCTGAATGCGGGCAAGCAGGAGCCACGCCGGGGCCACCGTGGCTGTCCCCGAGGGGGATGCACGGTGGGGACAATTGATGGGGACCCAAAAACCCCCAGGGGTGAAGCAGGCTGGGTCCCCCCCGCCAGCCCAGGGCAGGGATGCAGGCAACGGGTGTCCCCCCCAGCGAGGCATCGCCGTCCCCAGCCAGCGCCGTCCCTTCCCGCGACACCCCGGGGACGTGCCGGGGTGGGGGGCCGGCTCGGCCACCCCCTCGCTCGCCCTTCACCCAGGTCAGACACCCCCCGGGAATAGCTCCCGCCGGCTATAATAAGCTCTGTCCCGGTTTTCGGGGGCTCGCCCCGCTGCCGGGTCGTGCCCCCCTCGGCAGCACCGTGCCCCAGCGCCACGACAGCTGCTGCCAAATCGGGGCGACGCAGATGCCTGCGGCCGAGCCCCGCGGCGGGGGGCCCGCCGGGGAAGCGGGCCCGGGGGCGTCCGTCCGCGGCGGGAGCCCCGCCGGGAATGCGCGCCTGGGGCCGTCCGTCAGCGCCTGGGAGGATGATGGGGTCCCTGGGGCGATGCCCCCCGTCCCCATGCCGTTACCTCCCCAAAACGCTCCTTTGCACCAAAATGGGTGGGGGAAGACAAGGGGGAACGTGGCACCCACCCACCCACTGCCAACCGGCACCCCAAGAGCCCCTTCCTCCTCCCCAGCCCTGGTAAACACAGCCCCAGCAGCCCCGCAGGCGGCCTCAGCGCCGGTAAACACGGCGCAGGATGCGGCACGCAGCCCACGGTCGGCCGCCCGTCATTAAGCTGGGGCGTGGGGTAGGAGCGGTACGGGAAAAGGGCTGTGGCGTGGGAAGCAGCCCGGCCAGCTCCCGACACGTGCGTGCCAGCACCGTGCCTCAGTTTCCCTTCTCATCCAGCCTGCCACGGGCCAGCCGCGAGTGGAAAGGGGCTGAGTCAGCGATGGGGAGAGGGGAAGCCCCCCCAGGGCACCCCACGGCACCCAGCTGCACCCACCCCACGCGAGCCATGGGGCATCTGGGCCGGGGAGCAGCGGGCGCAGGAGGTGACTCACCCCCGGCCACGGCAGCCGGAGGGAAACGCCGACAAAGCAGCTCCTTCCTCGCGGCACAGCCGGTCCCCGGCACGCAGGTGGCACCGGGACAAGCAGGGCTGTCCCCCCCTCACCCCGTAATCGCTGGGGTGGGATCTGACCCCCCGGGGCCAAACCTGCCGTGGCCAAAGAGCGCTGAGCCCCCGTGGATCCAGACCTGGTGCCCACCGGAGGCTGGGGGCACGGTGCCAGGCAAGGTCACGCCGTTGGGGACAGGATGTGACCGCGGCCGGCGCTGAGTCACCGCGAGCAGCTGGTGCCGGATCCGGCCCTGGGAAGGGGCTGGAAGGTCCCTTGGCTCCAGCGTTCCTTGCCCCAAACAGCATCCCCAGCATGGCCGGGGACCCCCTGCCCAGTTTGGGGACCTCATTCCCAGTTTGGGGACCACGTGCCCAGTTTGGAGACCCCCTGCCCAGTTTGGGGACTGTGTGCCCAGTTTGGCGATCTCATTCATTCCCCGTTTGGGGTCTCCATTCCCAGTTTGGGGACTGTGTGCTCAGTTTGGGGACTGCATGCCCACTTTGGAGATCCCTTCCCAGTTTGGGGACCGTGTGCTCAGTTTGGGGACCCCGTGTCCAGTTTGGGGAACTGTGTGCCCAGTTTGGGGACCCTGTGCCCAGTTTGAAGACTCTATTCCCAGTTTGGGGACTTCATTCTCAGTTTGAGGACCACGTGCCCAGTTTGGAGACTCCCCCTTGCCCAATTTGGAGACTGTTTGCCCAGTTTAGGGACCTCACGTCCAGTCTGGGCACCTCATTCCCAGTTTGGGGACTCCATTCCCAGTTTGGAAACCCCATGCCCAGTTTGGGGACTTCATTCCCAGTTTGAGGACCATTTGCCCAGTTTGGAAACCCCGTGCCCAGTTTGGGGACTTCATTCCCAGTTTGAAGACTCCGCTCCCAGTTTGGGGCCCCCATGGCAGACCCGGCTCCCAGCCCCTCGCCGTCGATCAGCCGACGGCGGCGGCTTCCCGCAGGAATTCCCACCGGCTTTCCCCCCCCCGGGCCGGGGGGCTGGGGGGCGCCGGG